CAGACATCTTAGACCCACACGCGGCGCGCAGCGTACTGTCTCATGTTGTTGGATTCTCTTCTCTCCCCCTCTTTCCTTCTATCTCTCTCTCTCTCTCTCTCTCTCTCTCTCTCTCTCTCCGTGTCTCTCTCACTCTCTTTGGCGAGGGCTCGGGGCTGGCTGCTTGGCGGACCCTGTGTCATCCTCCAAGATGCACTCAGACTGCAAGAAACAGGGCTAAGGAAGGTCTGTGAACTTCGCTTCCCAGGTGTAGGCTTAAGCGCATGATTTGGAGTATTTTGCCCTCGGTGCACAGATTGAGAGAGAGAGAGTCGCAGCTGCTGTTTTGCAAGATACTTGGACATAGATGTTTGTGCGGAAACCGGGTTTTCCTTGGACAGGAGCTATGGGCATGTACGACCGAATCCATCGAAACGGAATGAAACGAAGGCATATAGATGGTAAGGCAAACCTGATTTCGAGATCAAACCCCGTTAAGGCGGCCAACGCCGCAAACCTGCAAGTTTTCAGCCTTCGGGTGGTTTGAGATCATTAACTGAACTTGAACTGGAAGCAAGGTACGGCATGCCCTTGGAGGCATCCAGCCCTGCGTTGAGCTGGGCTCCTCGGTGAAGGTCAGAGAGGAGCCAGGTTGCGGCATTCACAATTTGCAGATCGAGATGGGCTTTCCTTCTGGTGTGTCACGCGTATAAGGCCGGCTGCCCCAGCACTCAAAAATATATTCACCGGGCTGGCAGCAGCTAAGAAGCTTCCAAGTTCAAGTTCCCAGGTATTCGCATAGCCCACCTGCAACCTTTAACCATGTAGCAGACTGGAGCGCATTCACACTGCGCCACTGGGTATGCTAAGGCTGACTTCGGAATGCTAGCCGTTCTTAAGAACACCACGTAATTAGCATTACACTCGCCATGCGGGAGAGGCACCGCCCAAATAGTCCAGATCAGGTGAAGGTGGCCGGTGTGCGTGACATCTGTCTCGGTAACTGGGCCTTACCTCTCTGACTTGCCTTCGTACCGGCTCGGGGTGTGCTGCTTCCGGGCAAGGGATCAAAAAACGGTAGCTTTTCGCGTCATGGGTGCGGCGGGCCTACATGATGTGGCTTGTCTGGTTGATTCACCTCTGCAACGGCAACACTCAGTATCCGTCCACCCGTTTCTGCAGCTCAACCCCGTGTGCCATATACTTAGGTTGGCTGACTGCTCAGTCTGACGAATGCTGGAACCAAGCTAATTACTAGAGTTCAAGGATGTTCAAGGTATCAGTTTCATTTCGAGATGTGGTGTGGCATGCTCGAAAAGCAACGCGACTTGATTCGTTAGTGAGGTAGAACGCGGAAACCGTGACGTTACCTAAGCGCATCTTTGTGCAAGGTGTGGGCACTCTAGCCCTCTTCTTCTTTCAGCCCAGCGCCCTCCGCGTCTTCGCACCGGCGACACTTGTCGTCGCAGCCTCTGATGCAGCTTCTTGGCTTTGCTTGCCTAAGTTCTGGGAGTTGTCCTCCTCGCAACAGCCTCCCAAATACCACAAGCAATTCCCGTTCGCAACATACTTCAACACAACAAGACAACAGCCACAAACTCAACAAAAACACATTCCGATAGCAAAGGCATGGACGACACCCAGAGCAAGTCAGCCGCTGTGGTGCTGCGAAGAGGATGTGCCACAACAAGCATGCAAGCACCACCACCTCCACCACCACCACCACCACCACCTCCACCACCACCACCACCACCACGCCGGCGCCGGCGCCGCTGCCGCCGCCGCCGCCGCGGCTGCTGCTGCTGCTGCTGCTGCCAGGAATCATATCACCCGGAAACCGGAAGAACAACAGCTATCTAGCAACAGCAGTAGTGCAACAGCACCAGCATCTTCTTCTTGAAACGGATAATCAGTTTGCCACTGTCACAGCAGGATATCAACAGAAGAAGGGTACAGACATCGCAGTGATAAGGCAATCAAGCAGTACTAAGAACTGAAGCTACTACAACACTAGCAGTTTCAATAGCGGTGTGTATGTTGACCGTGGTGATATCTGTAGCACCGTATCAGAAGTATATTTGTGGCAACGACATCACGAGCACGAAGACAACCACTGTGACCGCAACCACAACCACAAGATTATCAGAGCCATGCCTTTGCGGTCAGCTCCGTTCACATCTCCCTTGCAACACCTGAGGCTGTGTGGAAATTTCTCTGAAATAGCCATGATGACATTAACAGGAAGAAGACAAAGCGACGATGATGTCGATGCTTTTCCAAAGCACGAAATACATAGGCTGGGGTAGCTGACGAAGGGATTTGCGTAGGCATAGGTTCCAAAGCTTCCAGTTGTGGTTGGGTTTGGCGGTTGGCATTCAGGGCCTTGTCTCTGCCTCCTGTGGAGCAGTAGGTGCATCATGTCCAGAAATCACTTCCACCATCGCTCCCAGCAGCAGACCAAGAGGACGAGCAGAGCAGCAACCGGAAGTGCAGCAGCAACGACACATGGTCTGACCCTCCAACGACAACGGCGCCACCAGGCCCCGACACATCGTTTGTGTCTATGCCGGTTCGTTCCGACAATCTTCGATTTCGCCAATTAGGGCTCCTGCTACTGCCAGGATCTAAAGCCACAGGGCGTCTTTGTGTATGAGCCTGCATCGGGCGATCTGAATGAAGCCACCCACTGTATTCTCCTCAGGCATTGACCATTGGCGGTCCCTTCCCAGCCCCCTTCAACCATCTCATGGGTGTGGTGGGCATTGGCCGCTTGCCTTGCGAGTCTTTTCGCTGTGTGGGCTACGTCGGAGGCTGATTGTCTTATCTGGCTTCCACCAAATGGACGATTGCTCTGAGGAGTAGACAACAAGGTCAGTAGGCTAGGTCAGGCTGTGTGGGGCATTTGCCGACTTGGGGCCTTGCATGTAATGTCGAACGACTCGAGTCCCAACCTCAGGCATCCTCTCCGTGGCCGCATGGTTCGACCCCACGCTCACGACAGAGGGTGAGGGCTACAAGCGGATCTCTGGCTAAAGCCCAGGGGTAACCTGACCAGCCAAGTTTTTTGCTGGCGTGGTGGCACAGCAGCATGCACCAAGCTTTGAGCGCGATTACTGCGATTTCCAGGGACATTTTGCTTTCTAGCGTGGCAAGGATTCTGCATGATTTCTCCTCGCCAGATCATCATCGTCAGCATTACGAAACTGATCACAGTTACCATTGTCTCGCCAATAGTGATGGTCAATACCACCCTGGTTGTCATGGCTTCTTATCGTCGATCGTCCAAGTTGCCTTTCTGATTGAAAGCACGAAAATCACCAAATTGCCTGATGGTATAAATACCACCATCTCTAAACTCCTTCCTATATGTGGCTAGACGGGGTGTTGTAGTAATGTTTCAGGTGCCGTAAGTGCCGGGCAACCCCAAGCTCACGACGTGTGTCAGCTGGTCCATGCGCTTCGAGCCAATTCAGGTCTGCGCATGTTGGGATCTACGCCAGGCATGTTTGGCATAATGATCGGAAAGGGCAAATTGTGCGCGGACGTGCGTCTTAGCCGGCGGGCCGGCGGATGTACACTCAACATCCATCAACAGGTAGCTTTTCGTGCTGCGCTGCCATGTGAGATCCCGGGCTGGAAGGAGTAGATTCACAGGCTAGAGTCTAGAGTGCAACAGACTGCAAGCTGTGGGAGGCGTCAGAATCAATTTTTCTGGCAAGGAAACAAAGGTTTAGTCTTATCCTGTATGGTTTCCAGGGAAGGGTGGGATCAGAATGTGAGGTGCGTGATGACTTGCTGCAAGAATCAAAGTGACTACGGGTTCTCCACTGGCCTCGACAGCATCAAGTTTTCTGTGTGCTGCAAATTCGGTTGCAGCGGCCACTATCACTGCTCTTCGCGGCCCGAAGCTGCATGCGGCATTGACAAAAGGTCGATTGGTCTTAAGATATCTTCACACTCTATCAGCCCGTTTGTCATCCCTCCTTACAAAGTCAGGAATTCCGGAACAGATCGTGCAAGAACCGACATGTACTCAGCACCAACGGGCTTTAGTGAGAAGATTTGGCAGGCGTCAATACCTGGCATGCACGGACCTGTTGCTTCATCAATCACGAGAGCTCCGCCGGAGCGGGGAGCATCGTTTCTAAAACCTCACGACGTGAGCCTGCGATTTTAGGGAGGGGGTGTGGGGTTGGGGGTGGGGATTGTAGATTTCGAGTCTTCCGGTTTGCGTCGCTTGCCAGGGCTTCGGCACGAGAAACGGGTTTCTTCTGATGCTGCTGATGCTTGCCGCTAGCCCCAGCCAGGGGTGGTGCTCCTGTCTTGGGAGCATTGACATGTGAGAGCAGTTCAGTTCTCAGCCGGACTTGCAAGTGATTGTCTTGCATGTTGTGGAACTTAGTTCTTCATTTCGTACCTCTGCATCTGTGGATATGCACATACATATACATATACTTATACAGATACAGATACAGATACCTATACCTATACCTATACCTATACCTGTACCTGTACCTGTACCTATACCTATACCTATACCTATACCTATACCTATACCTATACCTATACCTATACCTATACCTATACCTATACATACATATGTATGTATGTATGTATGTATGCATGTATATAATATGAGCATTGATCCAAAGGTCCTTGTGTGGGTTTTATATAAAACGGTTTTAACATGTAAAGTAGGGTCTCCGCGAAAGATCCGCGATGGGTCCGCGAAAGGAAAGCAATAATCCACGAAAGTTGTTGTGTAATGGATTTGGGCCATATAGGACTTGTAAGGTATATGCTGTAGCA